GGCAGTGGCTTTTCTCACGAATTCCGGCCATAGAACCCCTTACCTATTAAAACACACGTACACACACACACACTAAATATCACACCCAACCACGCTAGATTCTTGCAAACGGATTCAGCCACCACCTGGTGGCGACGGGAGATGGCAGTGGCAGCAACCACAGGCGGCAACGATGTCGGTTGACGTCGGTTCGCTAGGCAACAGTGGAAAAGTGTGGCGGAGGGAAACCGGAGTGCCTGAAATAGTTGCTTGACGGTGGCGGCGGAATCGAGCAATGCCTCTTCTGTCCAAACGTCCATCCACCGGTCACCCGCTGCCATGGCAGCTGGAGAAGTGGAGAGATAAGGGTGCGCCATTACCAGAGACGATAGAGGCACAATGGCCCCGACATCGGCCTTGAATCACTTGTCTGTCGGCTGCAAACATCACTGATGGTGCTCAGCACGCTTGGCGGCTCACTACGGCTTCACGGTGGCGGTAACATGGAGTTGGCGACGCCGGAGATGGTGGAGGTGAGTGAAACCGGTGGTGCGGCGCCAACAGTAGAAGGAGGGAGTGGCGGCTGCTATTGATCAACTAGGTTTAGGGTTAAGGTAATGTAATAGGAAGAATGAAGGCTTCAGGTTGAAATCCCGCTCCAATCAAAACCTTTGCATAATTTACAAGTTTGGACCCTCCCCATAAACATCTTTGCAAACCAAGGCCCATAATTTACTTTTCCTACCCTTGTTCCCACAATTCTTTTCATTTTAGATCCAAAAGTTACCAAACAGCCCCCTCCTCTACAAATTATTCTCAAATGAAGTCCATAAGCTACCATTCGGCCCCTAGCCTCCAAAATCTTTTCAAACTAAGTCCCAAAAATTTACCGAGTAGTCCCTGCCTTCACAATTATTTACGAAATCAATCCGAAACTCATACTTTTAACCCCCAACTTCTAAACTTGTGACAATTAGCTCATCGAGACCATCCTTTGATATATAATTATTTATTTTAGGGCTATCATTTGTTCATTAATTAATTTATTTATCTAATAAATAAACAGGGTGTTACAATGAGAGACTAACCAGATTCGCGGAATAAACAGACGGGAAGACGTCAAAGCGGGTGGCTTTGATTCGGTTTGTTTTTGCGGGTGACGGAAGACGGTAAAGGTGGTTGTGACCTTGTCTTGTTGTTCGATGGAAAAGTTCTCTCAGAATAAGCTTGATTAAAGAAGTCAGGGTTGTCAAAAATAATAAGATGACGTTGGTTAAAGAAGGAGGTTTGATGACGTATCAAGTTCCGGATTTGAATCCAACGAATTATCCGGTTTAGGCTGTCAAAGTCAATTCGATTATGGATGCACACGGCATATGGGAGATGGTCGAACCAAAGGTGTTAGGTGAAGCATCGGATCAAAAGAAGTCAAAACAAGCTCTTGCTTTTTTGTTTTAAGTGATACTCAAAGACATGGTGTTGCAAATGACGAGTTACACCGATCCAAAGCAAGTGTGGGATGGGCTGAAAACAAGGTACTTGGGTGTGAATCGGGTGAAAAAGACTCGACTTGCAACCTTAAAAAGGGAGCTTGAAAGCTTGTGCATGAAGGAGGGTGAAACGGTTGATGATTTTGTGACAAAATTATCCGGTTTAGCGTCAAAAGTAAGGAGTCTTGGTTACGAGCTTCAAGAAGTCGATTTGGTGAAAAGGTTACTTGATTCGATGCCTAAGTCGTTTCTTCAAATCGTGACTTCAATAGAGCAATGTTTCGATTTGGATTCAATGTTATTTGATGAAGCGACTGGTAGATTGAAGGAATACGAGGAGTATATAAGAGGAACCGAGAAAGTGGAGGACACTCAAGGTGGGTTGTTGTTGGCTAGTGAGGAAAAATCACATGTTTGTAAGCATTGTGGCAATGGACGTTCAAATCGGGATGACTTTGGACGTGGCAGGGGAAGAGGTCGGGGGTCCGGGAGAAGCCGAGATGGTAATGAACATGTTCGGGTTAAAAGACACGTTAGATGTTCAAAATGTGATGAGTTTGGTCACTATAGCAACGAGTGTCCTAAGTGGGAAAAACAAGAAGCGGGTCTAACCGAACCAGTGTTTTGAACGAGTGGTATGACCAATCCGATTAAGGGGGTGATTATTGGGTTAATCGGTTGGGCGAAGGGCAAAATTGGAGTGTCTCCTTTTATTAATTTGTGTTTCCGAGCTTTATAGTAGGAGTCAAAGTCTTTTGTTTTATTGTTTGAGTAAGTTTCTATTTCTTTAGTATATAAGTAGGAGTATGTGACGTTTTCTTTTAATACAATTTTTCTTTTGTTTTAACTTTGAAAGCAAGTAATCTTCTCTTCTCATATTTCTGTTCACTGTTTCGTTTCTTCCTTCATACAAGAATTTTAGTTAGTTTCTTGCACATTTCCCATCCCTTTCTCAATTGAAGATCCTTTTTATAAAAATAACGAGAAAGAGTTGGGTGCTTATGTTCTTATTTATGGCACTAGAAAGATTTAGTCTCTCTATTTCTTGTTTTCCTTTTTCACCATAAAATGGAATCAACTAATGACTAGTCATTCGTATTTATAATATATACCTTAGTCAACTAATTTTTTAGCGAAGTCAATCTCCAAATAGGTTAAATGAGTACAAGAAGTATTACATCTAATGTTCCTTAATTTAACCAAATCAAACCTAATTTCCCAAACTTATTTCTACTACATATTTAATTTATTAAATTCATTAATTTCACTTTTATTATTAGTATTTAATTTTTAAACTTTTAGCTTTTAAATGAATTTACTTCGTAAATAATTTTATTTAAAGCCTAAAACTTCTATCCACAAAATACATAAGTGAAATAGTTTCAATTAGGTGGCGATTCACTTTATTTTTTATGTGTGGTTTTTAACCAAAGAATGGGTGTAATGGTTTGTTCTTGGGAAACATGTTTCTTAGATTAGTCAACAGTGTGAATTGGAGTCGGTTAAATGATAGATTAACTGAGATTTCACATAGTTTGATTAACCACGGAAGGGGAATAGAAGAACGAAGCCACTAGGTCAAAACTGCAAACAAATTAAGCAGTTTGGTGGAAGAAAGTTGCAACAATCATAATTATTGACAACAAAGAAAATGGTTCTTCAAATGGTAATTAACATGTTTATCGGGAAGAATATCTATGGCAGGTTAAGATTTGGCTCAAGGAGCAAACATTGCTAAAGTAACAAAGAATGACTCTTCCATTTACGGGAAGAGGCCAGCATGCAACTGATGGTGATATGGTGTACATGCATTATTGAAATATTGAGAGATGGTTTTTCAGGACTAGCATGTTTGTGCAATTTATTGGTTTCACACTTGAAGCATGGCTTCAAAATGCAGTGAGGAAACCAATAAGTGTATCATCAAGTTGTCAAACCTCAAGGAGACTGTTCAGAATCAGAAAAATCATATTTATCGGAAACAATACAAAACCGACCAAAAAGAATCCGTACATAGCATGTCACACGATAAGCTCACATCACATGCCAAATTTTACACATAAGAATCACAGGAAAATAAGCAAAATCGTAAATCAAAACATATTCTTTCCGGATATACATGTAGTTAATAACTTAGAACACCATAGCATATGCGGCAACTAGTAGTGTAAATACGATAGGAATGGTTGCGAATTTAGTTGAAGATGCATCTGATGAACCATTATCTGTTGATGGCACAGTGTTTGTTTCGCTGCCTTTACCCGAAGGGTTTCCTGAAGGTGTTGTTTCTGAAGAAGGTGTGGTTCCGGAAGAAGGTGTGGTTTCTGAAGGGGAGTTGCTTGGAGATGCAGCTGTCCAATGAATAATGATAAGTAGATAAATTTGACATTTCTAATTTGTGAACTTATATATGAAAAAAGTTATAAATCATAGTCGATTTTTCTTCACTGGGAGGTAGATTCTTTTTGCATCATCTCCCATTGAATTGTATCAATGATATAATGTATCGATCATTAGATAAAGCATTTGTATCAGAATAACGTATTACCGAAACTTTAGGTTTTATAGTATATAATATTCTA